CGAACGAAAACGAACGAACGAACGAAAACGAACGAACGAAAAACGAACGAACGAACGAACGAACGAAAAACGAACGAACGAACGAACGAACGAACGAACGAACGAACGAACGAACGAACGAACGAACGAACGAACGAACGAACGAACGAACGAACGAACAACGAACGAACGAACGAAACGAACGAACGAACGAACAACGAACGAACGAACGAACGAACGAACGAACGAAACGAACGAACGAAAACGAACGAACGAACGAAAACGAACAACGAACGAACGAACGAACGAACGAACGAACGAACGAACGAACGAACGAACGAAACGAACGAACGAACGAACGAACGAAAACGAACGAACGAAAACGAACGAACGAACGAACGAACGAACGAACGAACGAACGAACGAACGAACGAACGAACGAACGAACGAACGAAAGAACGAACGAACGAACGAACGAAGAACGAACGAACGAACGAACGAACACGAAGAACGAACAACTAACGAACGAACTAACGAACTAACGAACGAACTAACGAACGAAAGAACGAAGAACTAACGAACTAACTAAATAACTAACTAACTAACTAACTAACTAACTAACTAACTAACTAACTAACTAACTAACTAACTAACTAACTAACTAACTAACTACTAACTAACTAACTAACTAACTAACTAACTAACTAACTAACTAACTAACTAACTAACTAACTAACTAACTAACTAACTAACCAACTAACGACGTAACATTATTTACGAATAATTTAAACAAAATAGTTTCATCAAAGAAACCTCAGTTTTTAACAAATTAATCTTAATACATAACAATGAATCATTAAAACCTAGGAATATATTAAATTTATTATTTAAATCATTAATAAAATAATTTAATTGATTTGTTATTAACTAAATTCAGCCATTTTAATTAACTTCCGTTAACAACTTCCTCTAATTTTCAAACCATTTACATATTAATACATTTTAGCGATTATTTTTGTTATATTATACTAAACAGCTGTTTTCAAATCACACTGCGTTAACCACACTCAAAGTACAATCAACTGCAACCAACTTCACAACATTGAAAATTTTCTGTAGATATAGTTAATTTGGAGAATTGTTTGTTGCTCTGTTAAATTTTTGTTAAAAAATGCTATAAAAAGTGTAAAATAATTATTAAAACCTAACGAAATGGCTACACAAAAACCAGGCGAATGGGCCAATTCATTATTGGCCCGTTTCGAAGATCAGGTAAAGTGAAAAAATTGAAAAATTCTATCACGGTTCCTCCCAAAATGGTAAAGTGAAAAACGCAAAAAAAAAGATTTTTTTGGGTAATACAGATGTATCGATTGAAAAAATTGTGTGAGCGAGTTGGAAAGAGTGTGCGAGTGAGATGGATGATTTGTTATTGTTTTGAGAAGTTGTTTTTCGCGTTTAACGTTTGTTTACGTTTTGTGTGGAGAGAAATTTATGAATGAAAATGCCGACAGAAGTGAGAAAGAAAGGAATGAATGAATTTTGCACGTGTATTTTGATGAATTTTTTTGTTAAGAGTGTGCTTTGAGTGAGTGTGTGCGCTAGAGATTGGGGTTGTGCGAGTGTTTATGCGTAGTATTTGTTTGTAAACAAAAAATGTAGGTAAATTGAAGGTTGTTATTTCACTTTGTTGTTGTTTTCGTTTGTGGATTTCTTTTGTAAAAGGGGGAGTTTAGTATTGTTGTTGTTTTGTAAAGGCTTTGAAACTTTGACATAGATTTGTGATGTTAAATAATGTAGGATAATTGTTAAATTGAGAATCAGACAATTTTGAAAATTTTTTGTGATTAAATTTTTAGTAAATAATTAAATTTAGTGAACATTTTTGGTAAATTGATAAATCTAGATAGTAGTGAAAATATTCGGTAAAATAACTTTTAGGGAAAATTTAGGTGAAGTAAAATTCTAGTGAAAATTTTCGGTGTAATAAATTTTAGTAAAAATTAAATTTTTGAGACATTTTTTTTTTTTTGGTAAAATTAATTTTTTGTAAAAATTTTCGATGAAACGAAATTTTAGTGAAAATTTTCTATGAAATTTGGGTGAAAATTTTCAGTGAAATGAAATTTGAGTACATATTGTCGTAAAATTAAATTTTAGTGAAACTTTTCGGTTAAATAAAATTAAATGAAAATTTTTGGCGAAATTAAAATTTTGTGAAAACTTTTGTTAGAACTATTTTTAGTGAAATTTTTGGTGGAATTCAATTTTAGTAAAAATTTTTTGAAAAAAAAAACATTCCATTTAGCGAAATATTTTGGTAAATTTATAAATTTTCGATTTAGAAAAAAATTTGGATTTTGCGATTAATTAATCTTGAATTTAATTTCGATAAAATGAAAATATATACCTATTAAACAAAAATTTTTACTTTCTTTCCAGCTTCCTAACAAAACAACCGGACCCCATGGCACCCAGGCTAGAATGAGCCAAGACCAATTGGTGGGATGTCTTATACACATTTCACGTTATCGTTTTTCGTTGGTAATATCCGGTCTTACCAAAATGCTACAAAGAGTCAATGAAGCCGTAAGTTTTGCCAACATATAAACTTTTCCGACACTTAACAATAACTTTTTTTTAGGCTATCCAAAATCGTCACGAAACCGATCGTTGTTATTTTGAATCTCTGATCATTATTTTAACCACCCTCGAACGTTGTCTGACCAATCAGACCAAGGATACGGCTCGTTTTGAAGAAGCCATGAATGTTAAACTTTTGCTACGTGAAATTACCCAATTTATTGATGTCCAAAGTGATAATAATCCTCATGCCGCCCAATTGAAAATTTTAGCTTCAAAAGTCCTATTTGCTCTCTCACAAAATCATTTTTCCGCTGTTTTTAATCGTATATCGGCTAGAATACAAGAGTTGGCCGCTTGTTCAGATGAGAATCCCGATTATTCGGATATTGAATTGATACAACATATTGATATGGATATGATCAAGTTGACGAAATTATTGCAGGAAACTATAACGAAATTTCGCTCGAAAAAAGCTCCACCCTTAATTCTATTAAATTCAATTGAAAAAGCCATATGGAATTGGATAGAATATCATCCGCAAGAGTTTCAGGATTTGCAAAGAGGCATGAATCGTGACATATCAACGTAAGTAGTGTTGAAGAAATGTATTAAGAATTATAAAGAAAAAACATTGTAAATATTTCAGCTGCTGGGAGCCTTTACTGGACTTTGTGGAGGCTTATAAAGCTGAAAATAAAAAGAGCAAAACTACAGTATGGCCTTTGCAAATGTTGTTGCTGATTTTGAATCCTGTAATTATTTATTTAAAAATTTCAAATTATAAAAATTCATATTATATATTAAATTTTTCCTTAGGCCTGTTTGGAAGCCACCGTCAATGAACTGCAGCAGGGCGAAAAGGAAAAAGACAAGGCCACCTCAAAGGCTCAAACGCGTGACAAGGATTTTTCGGCCAAACAATTTATCGAGAGTGTTAAGAGAGGGCTGGGGCCACATTCACCTTCTAAACTTGTTACCGAATCGGCCGCCATAGCCTGTGTGAAATTATGCAAGGCAGCTACTTACGTGAATATCAACGACTCCAATAATGTGATTTTCAAATTGGTCCAATACATAATCAACGATATCAAAGCTTTACTATTTAATCCGGTGAAACCATTTTCCCGGGGACAAGGTTATAACTTTGCCGATATAGAACTAATGATTGACTGTTGGGTATCATGTTTTCGCATAAATCCCCACAATATAGAGGCTTTAAAGGTCTGTTTGAATCTCAATTCACCGCAAGCCTATCATTTTGTTATAGTGTGTTCCTTATTACGGTAAAATTGAATTTATTCCTGAAAATTTGTAATAATAATAATATGATTTCTTTACCTAGGCTGGCCCATATTTATGTAGATTTTCGTTTGCAAAGTAAAAACCCGTTTCGTATTGTAAATCAGCCCCGTTTACCATGGTGGCCTCAAACCGATGTGGTACACTATCGTTCGGCGGAATTGCGAGCCCTATTTACGGATACTTTAAATAAAGCCACCCAGGGTTATATAGCCCATACGCCCTTAAGAATGATTACCTCGCTGACCCTAAAAACCAAGGATACACAAAAAGGTTTAGCTAGATCCGAAGAAGGTCCTGCCCATAAAATGTTACTTTTGCTGTTAGTACGTTTAATACATGCAGATCCCACTTTATTGCTTAATACCCAGGGCAAGGTGGCCCATGAGGTACAAAGTTCTACATTGGAGTTGATAAATGGTCTAGTTAGTTTGGTGCATCAACCGTCCATGCCGGATGTGGCCCAAGAAGCTATGGAGGCCTTATTGGCTTTACATGCTCCCGAAAAAATAGAAGTTTGGAATCCCGAGGCTCCTATCAACACATTTTGGGATGTTAGTTCTCAGGTTTTGTTTTCGATATCGCAAAAATTAATACAACATCAGATAGCCAACTATACGGATGTTTTAAAATGGCTGCGAGAGATTTTGATATGCCGCAATACTTTTCTGCAGCGTCATAAGGACTACGCCCATATGGGCAGTCATATAGCCATTTGTAAACAGGCTCACATTAAATTGGAAGTTGTATTCTTTATGTATTTATGGTCTGTGGATTTGGATGCTGTTCTGACTTCTTTATCATGTTTTGGTTTGCTGTGTGAAGAGGCAGAGATTTGTTGTGGATCGGATGAGTTAACGGTATCGATGTTGGTGCCTAATTATATGATCTATCAGGAATTGGCGCAATTATCATCGGGTGAGTGACAATGTTTTAAGAACGAATTTTCCGAAAAAAAACTTAACTTTTTCACTAAAAATTAAATTCTTTCAAAAGTTTTCACTAGATTTTGTTTCATTAAAATTTAATTTCACGGAAAATTTTTACTAATAATTTGATTCGCTGAAAATGTTCACATTTTCGCAAACATTTTCACCAAAATCCAACTATATCGAAAATTTTACTAAAAATTAAATTTCACCGAAATTTTTCACAAAATTTTATTTCACCGAAATTTTTCACTAAAAATTGTATATCACCGAAAATTTTCATTACATTGTAATTCACCGAAAATTTTGACTATAAATTTAATTTCATTTCACCAAAAATTTTCACTTGAAATTTAATACGCCGAAAAACTTCACTAAAATTGAATTTCACAGAAAATTATCACTAATATTTAATTTCACCGAAAATTTTCACTATTGTGTTCACCGATAATTTTCCCCAAAAATTTTTAACTAAAATTACATTTCGCCGAAAATATTCATTAAAAATTTGATTTCACCGAAAATTTTCACAAAAAAAATTCATTTCACCGAAAATGTTTACTAACAATTAATTTCACTAAAAATTTGTTTCATTTCAGCTGCCACCGATTCTCGTATTTGTTTCTATGATACCAGTCATAGCAACGTTTTAAATCGTTTGCATTTACAAAAACGCATCATGCAACTCTTACGCAAAATCGAGCATTGTATAGATGGTGTACAGCCCGCCTGGGAAGAAACTTTTAGGTAAGATTTTGTTGCTTCAATTGAATATACGAAAAATGCTAAAACAATTTCTTTTAATCCCACAGAAATTGGGAAATAATGAGTAAAATGTTGCAAACTTATCCCAAATGCAAGACCGAAGATGGTCAAGCTGAACTGTTCCACCGCGGCATAGGCAAGCGACGAGCCAGTCATCAATCTTCGGAACATGATATTGAGGAACAAATTACCGAATGGGCAAATATGACTTGGTTTCTATTGGCTTTGGGTGGTGTTTGTTTGATTAAAAGACGCCAGCAAATAGTAGTGGCGGCTCAGGCCACTACACACACCTCCCATAGTCTATCCAATCATGGACCATTTCATCAATATTCTCAAAGTTTTGGCTCATTTCAACAGCCGCTACCGGCTGCTCATATACATCCTATAAATCAGGGTTCTATTAGTTCATTGGCACAAAACTCGCTACATTCACTATCGAGTTCTTCCAGTTCGGGTAGAGGTTCATTAAATCCAAATTCGGTATCATTGACTGCTATACCACAGGGACCACAACAGGAGGTGCAATATTGTCCGGTGACACAGTGAGTTGTTTTTAAGATGTTGTAAAATAATTTGTAAAACTTATTAAATTTCTTTCCTAGATTTATTGGCCAACTTTTAAGATTATTGGTTTGCAGCAATGAGAAAATCGGTTTGAATATTCAAAAGAATGTTAAAGAACTTGTTGGAGAAGAAATGTCCACCTATCTATATCCCATACTCTTCGATCAAATACGTGCTATAGTAGAGAAATTCTTTGATCAACATGGCCAGGTTAATGTTACCGATATTAACACCCAATTTATCGAACATATTATCTATATAATGAAATCGATTTTGGATCCTAAACCTAATAAAGACCCCAATAATGAACAACCCTCAACAGCGGAAAATTTGGGTGTAACCAGCATTGAATGCATGATGTTGGGCATAGTGCGTTATGTTCGCCATCTGGACATGACTTTCTATGCTATACGTATTAAGACCAAATTGTGTCAACTGGTGGAGGTTATGATGAAACGTAGAGATGATTTGGCTTTTAGACAAGAAATGAAATTTCGCAATAAATTGGTGGAATATTTATCGGATTGGGTTATGGGTACTTCACATCAAATAGCACCACCTAGTTCCACAGATCCCGCTTTGATAACCAAGTAAATTGTTTTTGGTTTGAGCGTTTTAAGGAATTTTTGTTTATGTTTTTTCTTCCTTTTTAGTACCTCGGTTATTTTTAGAGATTTAGATCAGGCTTGCATGGAGGCTGTGGCTGCTTTATTAAGAGGTTTGCCTTTGCAACCCGAGGAATCAGATCGTGGTGATTTAATGGATGCCAAAAGTGCTCTGTTTCTTAAGTAATTATCTACATTGAACATTTTACTAAATACTTGTTTCACTCTTTCCTGTTTTCTCTTTCAGATATTTTACTTTGTTTATGAATCTATTGAACGATTGTATTGATAGTTCGGAAGCCGAGAAGGAACTAAACAATCCCCCTTTATTGCCTCCCCGACCACGTTTAGCTGCCGGCAAATTAACCGCTTTACGCAATGCCACCATACAAGCCATGTCCAATCTATTGGGAGCCAATATAGATTCAGGTCTCATGCATTCCATTGACTTGGGCTACAATCCCGATTTACAGACTAGAGCAGCTTTCATGGAAGTTTTGACACAAATTCTGCAACAAGGCACAGAATTTGACACATTAGCTGAGACTGTATTGGCTGATCGTTTTGAACAGTTGGTACAACTTGTTACCATGATTAGTGACAAGGGAGAATTACCCATAGCCATGGCTTTGGCTAATGTAGTGACCACTTCCCAAATGGATGAATTGGCCCGTGTTTTAGTTACTTTATTTGATGCCAAACATTTATTATCTCCTTTATTATGGAATATGTTCTACCGCGAAGTGGAGGTGTCCGATTGTATGCAGACTCTATTCCGTGGCAATTCTTTGGGCAGTAAAATCATGGCTTTTTGTTTTAAAATCTATGGTTCAGCCTATTTGCAGCTGCTGCTGGAACCCTTAATAAGACCTTTATTAGATAATCCTAATACTTGTTTTGAAGTTGATCCCGCCAGGTTGGTGAAATAGCAAGAAATCTCAGTTAAACCTAAACACATTTGAAAGTTCTCATTTCAGACTAGATCCGGGGGATGAATTAGATGTTAATCGCTGTAATCTGATAGCTTTAACAAAAAAGGTTTTCGATGCCATTATCAATTCGGCAGATCGTTTTCCACCTCAACTGCGTTCCATGTGTCACTGTTTGTATCAGGTGTTAAGTAAACGTTTTCCCAATTTATTGCAGAATAATATAGGAGCTGTAGGCACGGTAATATTTTTAAGATTTATTAACCCGGCCATTGGTAAGTGTAATAAGGAAATTTAGTATTGTTTTCAAATTTATTTAATGGGTTTTCTTTGTGTTTTAGTCTCTCCCCAGGAATTGGGCATTGTGGGCAAACAAGTACCCAGTTCGGTTAAGCGTGGCTTGATGTTAATGTCTAAAATTTTACAAAACATTGCCAATCATGTAGAGTTTTCCAAAGAACAGCATATGTTGTGTTTCAATGACTTCTTAAGGGAACATTTTGAGGCGGGTCGCCGTTTCTTCATACAAATTGCTTCGGATTGTGAAACTGTGGATCAAACCTCGCATAGCATGAGTTTTATATCGGATGCCAATGTTTTGGCTTTGCATCGTTTGTTGTGGACACATCAGGAAAAGATAGGTGACTATTTATCCAGCAGTCGTGATCACAAGGCTGTCGGTAGAAGACCTTTTGATAAAATGGCCACTTTATTGGCTTATTTGGGACCACCTGAGCACAAACCCGTGGATTCTCAGTAAGTGTTAACAATGTTAATGTAATTTCCATAAAATTACAAAAATCTTTTGTTTCTATGTTACAGCATGATGTTTTCCTCTTATCCACGTTGGAGTTCCATTGACATGTCTTCAACCAACTTCGAAGAAATCATGGTTAAACATCAAATGCACGAAAAGGAAGAGTTTAAAGCCTTGAAAGCCATGAATATATTCTATCAAGCCGGCACTAGCAAATCAGGACATCCGGTATTTTATTACATTGCCAGACGTTATAAGTAAGTCTATCTCACTCTCTTGCTTTTCCTAATTAAAACTTGTCATTTCCCTTACCAGAATTGGTGAAACAAATGGTGATCTTTTGATTTATCATGTGATTTTGACGTTGAAACCATTTTGTCATTCCACCTTTGAGGTTGTCATAGATTTTACTCATGTCAACTCGGACAATAGATTCCGTACAGAGTTCCTACAGAAGTGGTTTTATGTATTACCCGCCGTGGCCTATGAAAATGTACATGCGGTTTACATTTACAATTGCAACTCTTGGGTTAGGGAATATACCAAGTTTCATGATCGCATATTGGCGCCTTTAAAGGTAACTATTCTTGACATTATTGAGTAGAACTTGTTTACTAAACCAATGCAATTTCTCAGGGCAATCGTAAATTAATGTTTTTGGATTCACCCAATAAACTCAACGACTACATCGAATCGGATCAACAAAAACTACCAGGTGCTACTCTTTCTTTGGATGAGGATTTGAAAGTGTTCAGCAATGCTTTGAAGCTAAGCCACAAAGACACCAAAGTGGCCATTAAAGTGGGTCCCACAGCTTTACAAATTACCTCCGCGGAAAAAACTAAAGTTTTGGCCCATTCTGTATTGCTAAACGATGTGTACTATGCCTCCGAAATAGAGGAAGTTTGTTTGGTAGATGATAACCAGTTTACACTATCCATAGCAAATGAAAGTGGTCAATTAAGTTTCATACACAACGATTGCGATAATATTGTCCAAGCTATTATACATATCCGAAATCGCTGGGAGTTAAGTCAACCGGATTCGGTGACAGTGCATCAGAAAATTAGACCCAAGGATGTACCGGGCACTTTACTAAATCAGGCTTTGTTAAATTTGGGTTCAGCAGATCCCAACTTGCGTACCGCTGCCTATAATCTTCTCTGCGCTTTAACCGCCACATTTGATTTGAAAATTGAAGGCCAGTTGCTGGAGACTCAGGGTTTGTGTATACCCTCCAACAATACCATTTTCATTAAATCGGTTAGCGAAAAATTGGCCACCAATGAGCCTCATTTGACTTTAGAATTTCTAGAGGAATGTATACAGGGCTTCCAACGCAGTACCATCGAATTGAAACATTTGTGCTTGGAGTATATGACTCCTTGGTTAAAGAATCTGGTGAAATTCTGTAAATCCAATGATGATGCCAAAAAATTGAAAGTATCTCAAATACTGGATAAACTTATATGTCTAACCATCGAACAAAAAGAAATGTATCCCTCCGTTCAGGCTAAGATTTGGGGTTCCGTGGGCCAAATACCGGAACTTATTGACATGGTATTGGACAATTTCCTGCATAAGTCCCTAATATACGGCTTGGGTTCACCTCAAGTGGAAATAATGGCCGATACAGCAGTGGCTTTGGCCTCGGCCAATGTCCAGTTGGTGTCCAAAAAAGTTATAACGCGCATGTGCCGCGTTATGGACAAGACCTGTACCAATCCTACTCCCTTCCTAGAGCAACATGTCATGTGGGATGATATCGCCATCTTGGGTCGCTATTTACTTATGTTGTCCTTTAACAATTGTCTAGATGTGGCCACCCATTTGCCGTATCTCTTCCATACCATCACGTTTCTGGTTTGCTCGGGTTCTTTGTCCATGCGCGCCTCAACTCATGGTCTAGTCATTAATATCATACACTCCCTATGTACCTGTACGAAACCCATCTTCTCCGAAGAAGCTCAAAGAGTGTTGCGTTTGTCACTGGATGAATTCTCCCTGCCCAAATTTTACTTACTCTTTGGTATTAGCAAGGTTAAGTCGGCTGCCGTTACAGCTTTCCGTTCCAGTTGTCGCCATCCCCCCGATAAGTGGTTGGGCAATGAGAGAGTGTCGCAAACATTGCCCGCCGATAGAGAGCGTTTATCTTTGCCCTCCTTGGAAGTTATAACCGATGCTCTTCTGGAAATAATGGAGTCCTGTATGCGTGATGTACCCGATTGCCAGTGGTTGCAGACATGGAACTCATTGGCCCGTAGCTTTGCTTTCTGTTATAATCCTGCTTTACAGCCGAGAGCTTTGATAGTGTTTGGCTGCATTAGCAAGAGTGTTACGGATCAGGAAGTCAAGCAGTTGTTAAGGATTCTGGTAAAGGCAGTGGAATCCTTTAATGATATCACTCTTATAGAGGCAATTGTCATGTGTTTGACACGCATACAGCCGCTGTTGAGACCGGTAAAGTATTTAGAACTAAAATATTTCTCTATATTCGACAAAAATTTTCCTTAAAATAGTTTTTAGTGAAAATGTTCACATATGTTCGTTTATTTAAAAAAAATTGTGGAGAAAAGTTTTACAAAAACATCTTTTGATGGAAAATTTTTACTAAAAAATTTGTTGGTGAAAGATTTCACTGAAATTTCACAACTTTTTAATTTAAGGAAATTTTTTACAAAATTAGAAGAAAAATTCTGATTGAGATTTTCTGATAAAAAATTTTTTACTGAAATTTTTTGATAAACAATTTTTAGTGAAATTTTTTTTTGTGAAAACTTTTCACTGATTATTTTTGGTGAAAAAATTTCACAATTTTTTTTTTTTTTTTGGTGAAAATTAAAAAAATAAGAAAATTTTCGATAAAAATATTATTAGTGAAAAATTTCATAATTTTTTTTTTTTTTTTTTTGGGTGAAACAATTTCACTAAAAATTTTTTTAATGAAAATTTTTTTTAGTATGAGTACGTATATTTTGACAAAAAAATTTTTGGTGAAAAACTTTTCAGAGAATTTTTTTTTTTTTTGCCGAAAAATTTTTAGTGAATTTTTTTTGCCGAAAAATTTTTAGTGAATAGTTTTTACTGGATTTTTGAAGAAAATTGTCTGAATTGTTTTTAAAGTTAATTCTAATATTTGCATTTCTCTAACTCCAGGAATCTCCCATACATCGCAATCTGTTTTGGGTGGCCATTTCCGTTTTACAATTAGATGAGGGCAACTTATATGGAGCTGGTTTGGCATTGCTGGAACAAAATTTACATACCCTTAAATCTCAGGGTTGCTTTGATAATGCCAACATTGCAGACGTCATGATGTGTACACGCGAGAAACTAGAATGGCATTTTAAACAACTGGATCATGCGGTGGGTCTCTCATTTCGCAGTAATTTCCATTTTGCTCTTGTGGGACATTTAATAAAGGTAAGAACGCTTCTTCTTTGAAAAATGGAAAAAAATCATTTATGTGTTCAAATATTTCAGGGATTTAGACATTCTACTCCAACCACCGTATCACGCACTTCCCGTATATTGACCATGCTATTAGGCATTATAGCCAAACCTTTACGAAGAGATAAATTTGAAGTAACACCCGATAGTGTAGCCTATTTGACCGCCCTGGTGGCCGTCTCAGAAGAAGTAAGATCACGTTGTCATGTCAAACATGCCTTACCCAGATGGCCAGTCGAATTGAATACCACCTTGGAGAATGGCGAGGCAGCAGCTAATGGCACACATAATGTATGTTATCATAAGGGATTTGATTTAAAATTAAGCCTTTAACAATTGTTTCCTTTTATTTTTTCAGCAATTTGGCATGGCTTTATCACGTCGTCAAAAATCTTGGGATATTTTAGATCAATCCGCTTTAAATTTCGCGCGTCATCATAAAGTACCTGTACAACCGGTAAGTTTTTAACAAACACTACCTCCCAAACCAATAATCTAAATCGTTTATACGATTTAAAAGCATTAAAAAAACATTGTATATTAAAAATGTATTTTCTTAGCTTCTTTGAAGTTGGTATTACCATTATTAATATTTAAAATAAATGTATTAAATTGTTTTTTGAGTTCATATAACAATTTATATTTTTCACCGGTTTCGTTACATTTTGCATTTAATTAACTATATATTTTCCAACGAACCCGGTGTCGATTTATATTAACTTTAAATGTCTCTCTTTGATAAATTCTCTCTTTATTAATTTAACAGTATTAAATTAACTAAAGAAATTAAATAAAATATTTTCCATTTCTTTCTTTTTTATGTACTTAATAATGATTTAAAAAAATATATTTATACTCTACTACTACTACTACTATTCATAACATTACATACTCGTATTATGCCTGCTGTGATTGGTGCTTGTAATAATTATATTTTTCATTCCAAAAACAAACTTCATTTCATTACCTTTCCATAATATTCTTATTTCTTCATACTTTCTTCATTCCCTTATATTATTTTTAAACAAATATCATAAAATTCTATTCCTAATAATCGTTTACACGCCTGTGTTTACTATTTTTTTTAATTGCATGCTCAAAAAATTAATATACCCAAAATATCTCTCATTGTTTTATGTTCGTTTCAAACTACAAAATTGTTAAAATATTTCGTAAATATTAAACAAAAAACAACAACACAAACAACAAACCCAAAAAAATTTTGTATTTTTTACAAAAATAAAAATTTGTTGACTGAAGAATGCCCGAGTTTTATTTAAAACTCAGCGCTCCTTTTCGGTACCCACCACCAAAGATCCGAATAACGCTAGTGGAATCGAAGAACGTCAGGTATTGCTTATTTTTGTTTATTAATCTTACAAATATTTTCTTATTTCTTGATTTTTTTAAATATTTAGCAATTTCTTTTTCATCTTTATTTGCACTTTTGTTTTTTTTTATGGTACAAAATGATTAAATTTTTCATTACTTTTTGGATCTTAACTTAAAGCAGAAATAAAACACACTTTATCACTTAAAAAACACACACACAAGAAATGTGAAATAAATGTAAATAGTCATAATGATTTTTATAGATTTAAGAGAGAATTTTTAGCGTAGAAAAGTTATTTTCAAAGATTTGCAATGTATTAAATCTAAACAATTAGTGCTTTAACCCAGACACAGATTCATGGGTTCTTAATAATCATATATGTACATACATAACCCTATCACTAGATCGTTATGTTTTTAATGAAAAACTCAAGAACTATAACATGCTTCTCGAATTGGTCGATCTTGTTCAACCTTGTACTAACTAACGAAATAAATTATCTATAGACAATTCTATGTGTCCCTATTTGGAAATCTACCGGATTCATTTGATGTGTGAGAAACTAACTGGCGATTTCGTAAATAACTTAAATATCTTTTGAACTATTTAAGTCATGTTACCTTAGATCATTAAACTTAATTATTATCCATAATTAAAACATTATGTTCTTAATGAAAAAAAGACATTGAGATCATCCGAATTGCAATTTTCTTTAGGAGCCAAATTAATAAAATACGGAATTAGTGATCAAAAGAGAATTATGAAAGTCCATCGTTGGAGATCGATCGCATTCCTTTGAAGAGTTAAAAGGATAGGTCAATAGGACAGCTATTGCGATAATTATTAGGTCTCTGTGAAAAAGTTCTATATAGCTTTACAGAAGTCTAAAAGTAGAGGAGTGTCATCATAACATTCCCTGACAACTTGTACTTAAGACTTAACTTCATTGCAGTTAAGTGTCCTGTAATGATTAATGGATTTATTTGATGTCTAAGGAATCTAGCGGGTCTTTACTACATCAATGTTAATCAAAGAAATGTGAGATAGAAATCAACATCTTCTGTGGCATCTCTCAGGGTGATTCAATGAAAACACCTGGCAGACTTCGAGTTCTATCCAATACCAGAATCTGCCCTTTTAACCTAACTAACCTTGTTCTTTAGTTATAAAAACTAAGTGCTCCTCGAGATGAAAAAGGGACTTCGTTATAGCAAATTAATTTAGATTATGTTGAACAATTGATTTACAATTTTCAAGGAAAGTATGAGGAATGGAATTGTATCGTCAGATGTAAATGCCCTGCTACAAAGGGCTTGTTAGAAACTTTCAGGCGATTCCAATACACTGTCAAAACAGCAAAAACAAACAGCACTGACGTAAATACTAGATAAATTCGTAGTATTAGTTTAAGTACGATAATCACGTAGAGTGTAACCTAAATCCTGCGATTATTGGATCACCACACTTGAATGAGCCAAGATAAACATAGATTAAAGAAAAGCGATCGTAATATAATAATGTAACCCAATCTATAAAGAGCAGTGTATAGGAAAATGGTTGTAATGGTATTCGGAGCATGTATAAAGAACTTTGCTCTATTAGAGGCAAAAGAGATTAGAGACAAGGAGGCACTTTTTAGCAAGTGGCTTGTTTAGTTTAAAAACACATTTAGAATATTCACTGCCAAGATCCACAAACTTTCAAAATTAATAAATTAAACTAAATTAAAACTTAAGGAAATATTTTAACTTAAACATACATATTATCACCAATTAACACTAGCACACCAAATTACCCCAAAAAACTCACATAAAATGCACTAAATAGTTACTAAAACTTAATATTTATAAGTGTAGCACACATTTTTTACTACATATTACTATATAGTTAGTTTTACCACAAAAAGCACTATATTTTTGTAATGAAATGCATACAAAAAAAGTAACAAATTATAAGTAGAAAACCTTTAAGGATTACACATAGAGTGCCGATTAAAAAAACAATCTTAACAAATTATTTTAATTTTTTCATAGGAACGCGGCTCACGTACCTCTGTATCCAATGAATCGAATGTTCTATTGGATCCTGAAGTTTTACCTGATTTGTCAATACAGGCTTTGGTTTTAACCGTATTGGCAACATTAGTTAAATATACCTCCGATGAAAATGAAACACGTGTATTATATCAATATTTAGCCGAAGGATCTGTGGTATTTCCCAAGGTGTTTCCAGTAATGTAAGTAGTAATAATGTCGGCAAATAATCGAAAAAAGATTGTAATTTAAATTTCTTTCTTAGACACTCTTTATTGGATCAAAAAATCAACAATATACTATCCGTGTCTCATGATCAAGTTGTCTTGAACTCAGTACAAAATATTATCCAAAATATGTTGGCCAGTGAAGATCCCTCACAGCAGCAATTGCATTTTCTACAAAGTTGTGGTTTTGGTGGTTTGTGGCGTTTTGCAGGACCGTTTACCAAATACAATGTTATGGGTGAATCTTCGGAACTATTTGTCAACTGTCTGGAGGCCATGGTAGAGACTTGTCTGCCCGGCGATGAACAACAGGCACCCATTGTTCCTTTGGTGCGTCCCTATAACTTAAGCTCCAGCTTAAGCAGTTTGACGCTGGGTTCTCCCACGGATAAAGGTTAATACCAAAGAATTTTTTTCTTTTTTTTTTTTTGAAAAAAAGTTCTACTTTTTTGGTTTACGCTTTTTATATTGTTATGGGTTTTTCCTTTTTGAAATTAGTAGTTTTCACACACAAAAAAAAGCCACATTAACAAAATTACTTTATGGAAATTAATTAACAATTTATTCATTCCTAGTCATCAGCCACTAACTCACTAACCCCTTCACCCCCTCAGCTCAGCTCATTGACATACAGAAATACTTTTATAACAAGAAATTTTATTAAACTAACTGAAAATTAGTTTTTATATTATCTCTGATTGTGAATTTTTGTATATTTTTTTCTTTTTCGTATTTCTTTTGTTTTTCGTATACCTTTTTTATTTGTTTATTTGTTTTTTTCGGTATCTGTAGCTTTCTCATCGGAATCATTAGATCATGAATTCGGCGGCAGTGTAAGCTCTCTCCGTCGTGCATCACACAGTAAAGCACGCGCCAAGCACCGTCTCACCGAAAGTCCATCACATAACAATTAACAATGAGTCCAGCAATTAGACTTAGACATAATTATTTATTAACCAAACAGAAAAAAAATTTAAAAAGAAAATATCATGATCATCATTACCATCATTATTAATTAATATTTACAATTAATTATTAGCATTATGGCATATATTAGTAATTAACAAAAAAAAAACAACTAAAAATATATACTTAATCCCATCATCTAATAACAACACACTATGCTTCAATGTCCAAAAAATGCTTTTAAACACATTTTTTATTATTTTTGCTTCTAAACAGAGATTAAAAGCTGTTAAAAATTAGAGATTCTTCAGTATCGAATTTAATAGTCATTGAAAGAAAGCTGATCTGAACCCCAGGGGTCATCAGACCATCATTTGCAAAGCACTAATCTAGAGTTTTAAAAGTTTTCAATGTTAAATATAGGTTGATAAAAGTGAAGAAAGTTATAATACAACCCCCAAGGGGATCCACATTTTAAAAACTTATTCATAAACTTTTATCAAAGGTTTATAAATCAAATTTTCATACAAAATTTGTTCTACGTCCCTACGTTAGTCCAATTTATTTACTTGAAATCACCTGTTATAATACAACCCCCAAGGGGAACCACCTTATAAAAACTTATTCATAAACTTTTATCAAAGGTTTATAAATCAAATTTTCATACACAATTTGTTCTATAAACCTTTGATAAATGTTTATGAATAAGGCAGTAAAAGTTTAATTCAGTGTAATAAAAATATTAAAATTGTATGATCATGTAGAGATTCAATTATATATACACTAGAAAGCTGCTTTGAACCCAAGGGGTTCACAGACCATCTTTAATCTTGAGTTTTAAAAACACTGAAAGTTGTTGAGAATGGAGTTTGTTTTATTCAATTTCCCCAAACCATTTTAAAAACTCTGAAAGTTGTATTCAGTGTAATGAAATTTTTTAAATTGCAAGATCATGTATTTCCATCGACTCACTTTAATCCTCTTTTGAACCCCAGAGGTCCGTAGATCAACATTTGAAAACCATTAATCCAGAATTTTAAACTATTTAAGTTGAATTCAGGCTAAGGACCCAGTGATAATATAGACCGCTAGAGGTCTACTGACCATCTTTTGAAAAGCTTTGGGTTAGAGTTTTAAAAGCTCTGAAAGTTGTAGTCAGTTTTTTCCTTCGCATTTTCGGGTACTTTTTTAAATTGTAGGATCATTCATTTCCATCGACTTACTTTAATGCTGTTTTGAACCCCAGAGGTCCGTAGATCAACATTTCAAAACCATTAATCCAGAATTTTGAACTATTTAAGTTGAATTCAGGCTAAGGACACAGTTATAATACAGAGTCCTAGGGGTCTACTGACCATCTTTTGAAAAGCTTTGGCTTAGAGTTTTAAAAGCTCTAAAAGTTATAGTCAGTTTTTTCCTTTACTGGAATGCAGCTATAACCCCTAGGGGTCCACAGACCACCAGTTGGAAATCATTGGTTTTAGAAATGTAAACGTTTAATTCAAGTTACGTATTGAATTCAACGATCTTCGTATGTGAGTTCAAAATAGCTATCCGAAGGCCCCTGTTATACCACAGACTTACCCCTAGAGATCTACTGACCATCTTTTGAAATGCTTTGGCATAGAGTTTTAAAAGCTCTTAAAGTTGTAGTCAGTTTTTTCCTTCTACCTTTTCGGGCACTCACTGGAATGCAACTATAACCCCCAGGGGTCCATAGACCACCATTTGAAAATCATTGGTTTTAGAACTGTAAAAGTTTAATTCAAGCCAATGAAAATGAATATAGATAGTATTGAATTCAACGATCTTCGTATGTGAGTTCAAAATAGCTATCCGAAGGCCCTGTTATACCACAGACTTACCCCTAGAGGTCTACTGATCATCTTTTGAAAAGCTTTGGCTTAGAGTGTTAAAAGCTCTGAAAGTTGTAGTCAGATTCTTCCTTCGACATTTTCGGGCACTTACTGCAATGCAACTATAACCCCCAGGGGTCCATAGACCACCATTTGGAAATCATTGGTTTTAGAACAGTAAAAGTTTAATTCAAGCCAATAAAAATGAATATAGATAGTATTGAATTCAACGATCTTCGTATGTGAGTTCAAAACAGCTATCCGAAGGACCCTGTTATACCACAGACTTAAATCTAAGATCAAACTTAGGGTAAAAAATTATATAAATATAAGAATAAGAAAATCTTTACAGAAAAGATTCTAGTACAAGTTTTGGGAAGAATGGAAAATTTTAATAAAGAGGCGTTTTTAAATTCCTTTAAGAATTGTATGTCTCCGCTTTAATCTTTTCAATCTCTGCCCAACGAAATAACACAGTTAATGCATTTATTTTTTTTTATTTCGTTTCAAACAAATTTCATTAGTATTTAAGCTAAATTATTAAACTAATAACGAACAAATTTACTAATAAAATTCTATATGTGTCACACACTTAACTACAACACACAACAACAACAACAAAACCCAGTAGAAAAGTTTCTTAAGAAATGCTTTAAAAAATTTTTGGTAGATTTAGTAAAAATTATTAATTAAAAAACTAACAATTTAAATATTTATAAAATAATAAAATTGCATGTCAGTTTTTCTTAAAAACAAAAATTAATGGCTTTTGTGTATAAAAAAATTTCAGAAAATTAATAAATATATTAAAAAAAAGTAGTTATTTGAAATAATATTTATATTAAAGAAAATGCTTTTTAAACACAATTATTAAATAATATAAGAATTTTTAAAAAATTATAATAACGCAAATAAATTTTATTTAAAACATAATTAAATAGTTCCTAATAATTTTTTTTATTATTTTTTTTTATAAAAAATGAAAGCTTATCCTTATTTAAGTGTAAAAGTTAAAAAAAACTGTCATATTACGACTCCTATATGTTTTTCTTTCTTTTTTTCCATTTTTTGTCTTTTCTTTTACAGCTGCATGAATAACAACCAATCCACGCACTAGACGTACCATATTTTCCAATTTTTTGAGATTTTTTAATTTATTCAAAAAGTGTTTTTAATTTCTAAAAAAAAGAACATTTTTGTACTTTTTTCAAATTTTAAGACTTATGAAACATAAAAACAACGAACAAATTTAAATTAAATACGTCGAAATGCGTTGGTAAAGGTTGGCAAATGTTTAAAACAAAACCCCCGTTATGGAATTGCGCTTGCGGGCTCTACTTACTACCTTTAAAAAGATTTTGGAAATTTCTCGAGGATTTACTTTTTTTAATGTTAATATTAATATTAAACGTTTTTAGGTGGTAACTGTTTTTCCTAATTATTAAGTATATAATTAAGAAATTCTATAAAAGGAGTCAAAAATTAAAAAAAATATAAGGAATTATAAGGCTAGGTTCCTAAACAATGACCAGGTTATATGTAATAGCCAGAGCAAAATTTTTGTTTTATTTTTACGCTTTGTCTTAGAAAAAAATAGAGAGCTGTTGTTGCTTACAGTGAGTGTCATAAAATTGCAACCTATAACTAGGACCAAAATTAAAAAATGTAAAAGTTCATTTAAAATTTAAGCTAAATAGTTAAACATATTGTTAAATCATTTATAAGTAGTTAATGATAAAAAAAATCTTCCAAAAATAATTTTTCTATTAAATTATAATTTAATGTGTTTTGAATATAAATGTCTTGAGAAATTAGTCATATTTGTACCGTGTTAATTTTAAAAAACTAAATAGATTTAATACCTGTCTTAATCGATTAGTTAAAGTGTTTTAAAAAGAAAATGTTTGGTTGCGGTTTTTGTGACACTTACTGTAGGTGAATTCCATTTTGTTTTGAATTCCATATTGATTTAAAATAAATTGAAAGTTCAGTATCTGGTATCTATATATAGATTAGGATGTTATCTCCAAGACTCTCGGTCGATATTCTCTTACTAATCGGAGAGATCAATTAGGTGATCAACAACGGACAACTGATTACATTATCCAGATGGTAAAAGACTTGAATGCATATTTCCGGCCCGATCTCTCGAGCTAAAGGTCGATAAGCTCTTACTAATCTAAATCATGCGAAATTTAATTTCACTCCAATAGACTATAAACTGATCAATAGTCTTGACTATAGACTGTTCTATAGTCTTGACTATAGACTGTTCTATAGTTTTGACTATAGACTGTTCTATAGTCTTGACTATAGACTGTTCTAAAGTCTTGACTATCGACTGTTCTATAGTCTTGACCATAGACTGTTATATAGTCTTGACTATAGACTGTTCTATAGTCTTGACTATAGACCGGTCAATAGTCCTGACTATAGAGTGATCACTAGCCTTGACTATAGACTGTTCTATAGTATTGACTATAGACTGTTCTACAGTCTTGACTATTATCTTGACTATAGGTTAATCTATAGTTTATATTGATTATAGATAGACTATAGACTGATCAATAGTCTTGACTATCGACTGTTCTATAGTCTTGACCATAGACTGTTCTATAGTCTTGACTATAGACTGTTCTATAGTCTTGACTATAGACTGTTCTATAGTCTGTTCTATAGTCTTGACTATAGACTGTTCTATAGTCTGTTCTATAGTCTTGACTATAGTCTGTTCTATAGTCTTGACTATAGACTGTTCTATAGTCTTGACTATAGACTGTTCTATAGTCTTGACTATAGACTGTTCTATAGTCTTGACTATAGACTGATCTATAGTCTTGACTATAGACTGATCTATAGTCTTGAATATTATCTTGACTATAGGTTAATCTATAGTTTATATTGATTATAGACTCATCTATAGTCTATATTGACTATAGACTGATCTATAGTCTTGAATATTATCTTGACTATAGGTTAATCTATAGTTTATATTGATTATAGACTCATCTATAGTCTATATTGACTATAGACTGATCTATAATCTATAGTTTTGACTATAGACTAATCTATAGTCTTGACTATTATGTAGACTATAGGCTGATCTATAATTTATATTGACTATAGTCTGATCTATAGGCTATATTGAATATAGACTGATCTATAATCTATAGTCTTTACTTAAGGTTAATCTATAGTATTGACTACAGACTAATCTATAGTCTTTACTACAGACTGATCTATAGTCTATATTGACTATAGACTAATCATTTACTATAGATTGATCTATGTCTGACTAGAGACTGATCTAATTTTTAGTCTTGACAATAGACTGATCTATTGTTTTGACTATTGACTGATCTGTAGTCAGACTGATCAATAGCCTTGACTATAGACTGATCTATAGTCTTGACTATGGACTAATCTATAGTCTTGACTATAGACTGATCTATAGTCTTGACTATAGACTGATCTATTGTCTTGACTATAGACTGATCTATAGTATTGACTATACACTGATCTATAGTCTTGACTGTGGACTGATCTATTGTCTTGACTATAGACTGATCTTCAGTCTTGACTATAGACTGATCTATAGTCTTGATCACGAACTAATCTATAGTTTAACCATGGACTAATCTATAGTCTTGTCTAAACAAGCTTGGACTATGGATTAATCTATAGTCTTGAGTATAGACTAATCTATAGTCCTGACTATAGACTGATCTATTGCTTTGACTATTGACTGATCTATAGTCTGACTATAGACTAATCTATGTATAACATTGACTATAGACAGATCTCTTGTCTTAACTATAGACTGAAATATAATCTTGATTATAGACTGATCTATATTTTTGAATATTGACTGATCTATAGTCTCGAATATTGACTGATCTACAGTCTCAACTAGTCTTGTTCTATAGTGCAAAAATCAAAACTTATTGAAATGTGTAAACAAGTGTTAATTCAAGTAAAGTGCGGATATTGTTTTAGATTTATAGCAAATATTTTGTTTTCTATTATGAAAGAAAAATCCCCTAAGTTTTTCTGAAGAACAACAATATTACACCAAACTACTGAACAGACAAAATTTATCTTAAGTGTCTTCGATGTGCTTTCTATTTTTTATATGACAAAGAAAACGCTACTACAAAATATACTTAAAGTGATAACTTTTTTTTTAATTATTTTTTATTTATTTTTATTATTAACTATTATTTATTCTATTAACAACAAACTATATAACTAATTGTAGATATTTAATGTATTTTTTTTTTTTTTTAATAATATGAGGCACAAATTAAAACAAATAGACAAACAGAAAGATATTTGTCGAAACGTACAAAATAATAAAAAAACAAAAATTACTAAAAAATTATAAAATTATAATTATGAATAAAAATAAAAATTGTTTGCAAAAATTGTTGTTAGGAAACAGTAAAAATGTAGTAAAGCAAATTTTTAATATAAAAATGTACTCTGAAGAAAAAAGGTTGAAAATTTGAAGATTTATCAATTTTAATTCATTCGCGAACGAATTGAAAATAAGATAAAAGAAATATAGTCTTAACAATAGACTGATCTATAGTCTTGATTATAGAGTCATTTATGGTCTTGACTATAGACTCTTCTATAGTCTTGACTATAAACTCATCTATAGTATTGACTATAGATTCATCAATAGTCTTGACTATATACTGATCTATAGTCTTGACTATAGACTGATCTATAGTATTGACTATAGACTCATTTATAGTCTTGACTATAGACTGATCTATAGTCTTGACTATAGACTGATCTATAGTATTGACTATAGACTGATCTATAGTATTGACTATAGACTGATCTATTGTCTTGACTATAGACGGATCTATAGTTTTGACTATAGACTGATCTATAGTTTTGACTATAGACCCATCTATAGTCTTGACGATAGACTGATCTATAGTCTTGACTATAGACTAATGTATTGTCTTGATTTAAGACAGATCTATGTGTTTTGAGTGTTTTGCCTATAGACTGATTAGTTCTGTGGATATTTCCTATAAGAATCCTTTATTCTAATCTGAGTACATTATAACTACAAATACCCTACATTATGCAAATACAACAAGAAAAATTAAAACCAACACAAATTCTAAAAAATATCATACATATGAAAAATATGTAGAAATATAAACTCACCTGCCGTTATTTTTATTATTTTAATAATTTTAATAAAAAGAGAAGACAAAAACTATTTATGTTCATAATTAAAAAATATTTTAAATGCTGCATAAAAATATATAAAAACAAAATAGTTACTAATTCTACATATAAATCAGTAAATGGTATTGTATGTTTGTATATTTTTTTAGACAAATGTGTGAATAAAAATCCATAAAAATAATAGTAAAATTATATTTAAAGCAAACACAAAACAAAAACTAATATATTTTTTGATTATTAAATTAAACAAAACCAACAAACGAATTCATTATTATATGATCTACTATATTTATTTATTAATAATAAAAAACAACAAAATATTTAAAGCGAAAAACACACAAATACTAAAATTAATCAAAATAAAAAAATTTAACGAGAAAATTTATAAAAAAAAAAATAAATTATTAAATAAAAAACAAACTATTGTATCTGAGTGTATGTGTCTGTATATGTATCAATAACTAAATGTTTTACAGCTGATTTATGTTAATTTTATGAAATTTTAAAAAAATCTATACAACCTAATTTATTTGTTAATACAAAGAAAACGAATTAAAAAAAAACAACAATTACACAAACATTATAGTAAAAATTTAAATAAAACGTGAAAAAACAAAAACTTTAGCAAGACTTTTCATTTAAGAATCTGAGTGTTAGTTAACATGTTTTATGGATTTAAAGACTATAGACTGATCTATAGACTTGACTATAGTATGATCTTTCGTCTTGACTAAAGACCGATCTATAATATTGGCAATCTGTATATAATCTTGACTGATCCATATTCTTGACTATAGATTGACCTTCACTTGATCTATTACTGACCTTGGTCTATAGTTTGACTATAAACTGTCCTATAGTCTTGACAATAGACTGATTTATAGTCTTGGCTATAGACTTGACTATAGACTGATCTTTAGTCTTGCCTATACACTGATCTATAGCTTTTACTATAAACTTATCTATAGTTTTGACTATAGACTGATCTATAGTCTTGACTATAGACCGACCCATAGTCTTCACTATAGAGTGATCTATAGTCTTGACTGATCCATAGTCTTGACTATAGACTAATCTATAGTCTTGACTGTAGACTGGTCCATAGTCTTGACTATAGGCTGATCTATTGCCTTGACTGTAGACTGATCCATAGTCTTGACTATAGAATGACCTATAGTATTGACTATATACTGACCTATAGTCTTGACTAGACTGATCTACAGTCTGGACTAAAGACTGATCTATAGTCTTGACAATAGACTTATCTATAGTCATGACTATAGACTGATCAATAGTCTTTACTATAGACTGATCTACAGACTGATCTTTAGTCTTGACTGTAGACTAATCTATAGTCTTGACGATAGACTAATTCATAGTCTTGACTATAGACTGATCTATAGTCTTGACTATAGACTGATCTATAGTTTTGACTATAGACTGATCTATAGTCTTGACTATAGACTGATCTATAGTCTTGACTATAGACTGATCTATAGTCTCGACTATAGACTGATCTATAGTCTTGACTATAGACTGATCTATAGTCTTGACTATAGACTGATCTATAGTATAATCTATATTCTTGACTATAGACTGAACTATAGTCTTGACTATAGACTGATCTATAGTCTTGACTAAAGAGTGATCTATAGGGTTGACTATAGACTGATCTATAGTCATGACTATAGGCTGATCTGTAGTCTTGACTATAGCCTGATTTGTAGTCTTGACTATAGACTGGCCTATATCGTTGACTATAGACTGATGTATAGTCATGACTATATATTGACCTATATCTTGACCATATACTGATCTACAATCTTGACTATATACTGATCATTAGCTTTATCTACAGACTTTTGTATAGTCCAGACTTTATACTGATGTAAAGTCTTGGCTATAGATTTAATCCTTAGTGGCGTGACGCCTAGTGTGTACTATACCCATCAATTTCCAAGTCATTTTGCACCCTTAATTCTCCTCTTTTTTTCAACCAAACAAAACTCCCATGCAAATATTTATTATTGTTATTGAAACTATCGCAACATCTTCGATAAGATTTCGTGCTCAAAAACTCTCTAAGGGAAAGATTTCAATGTGCCCAAGTAAGCAAAAAAAAAAAAAAGCCGATTCAACAAACAATAAGAGAAGCAGGTGATTTTCTAGCAGCATTAACTCTACTAAACTGGAAAATAAAATCTGTTTCGTAAAATGAGTGTGGGAATTTAGGGTGAATACTTTCTCACGATGTGCGACAAGTGATTTCCTTTTTGAAAATATATACTCGCAATAATGTTTTATAAAATTATTCTCAGATCCCATTGAAACCCTCTCTTTCATACTTGTTTATTCATTCATTCATTCATACTGACTGACTGGCTGGTTGGCTTCATTCAATTCATTCATATGTTTTTGTTCCTTCTTTTTTGTGGAACAATTTCTTATAGTTTGTGTTAAACGTACGTATAACATGCGTGTTTCATAAGAAATAATCGTAGTTGTATTTGTATTTGCAATTTAACTTAATGCTGTTGCTGCTGCTGGGGAGGAAGTAAGCCCGACAACGGTCTCACATAAAATCATTAAGAAAAGAGTGCTCTAGACATGCATATAGTCAAATGGACGGACATTCGTTTATACGAAGCAGTCGTCAGTCACACAAAGAGCACAAGATTCTTGTGTGTGTGTGTTTGTTTAAGTTTTGCATGCTTAGAATTCGAGTAAGAATTACTCGTTGTAACACACTGAAGACATGCAGCTAAACACGAGACGTCTTCTTTTGATTCAAGTGAGCACGAGAATTAAGCCATACTTTATGCGATGTTAATGTATGAGAGCTATAATTACAGTGAAAGAATTTTAAGGGCAGACTTTTAAATGAGTTTTGAAAATTTGTACTTAGATGAAAAAAATTCAAATTTGATGTTGAACATCCAAATAAAATTGTAAGTTCTGTTAAAAAATCAAAATTATTAAAACATGAACTGGGAAAATTTGAGATATAGTCTTGACCAAGGACTGATCTATAGTCTTGACCATTGACTATAAACTGATCTACAGTCTTGAATATATACTGATCTATGATATACTGATCTACTTATGGTCTTAATTATAGACTGATCTGTAGCCTTGGCTATTGTTTTGAAATTATACTGATCTATGGTCTTGAATATAGACTGATCAATACTCTTGACTATAGACTGAACTATAGTCTTGACTATAGACATATCTATACTCTTGACTATAGACTGATCTATAGTCTTGACTATAGACTGATCTATGATCTTGACTATAGATTGATCTATACTATAGATTATAGACAATTCAATGGTCTTTACTATAGACTGATATATAATATAGATTATAGACTGATCTATAGTCTAGACTATGGACTGATCTATAGTCTAGACTATAGATCAGTCTATATAATCTAGACTATATACTGATCTATAGTCTTGACTATAGACTGATTAATAGTCTTGACTATATACTGATCTATGATCTTGACTATATTCAGATCTATAGTCTTGGCTATAGACTGATCTATAGTCTTGACTATAGACTGATCTATAGTCTTGACTATAGACTGATCTATAGTCTTGACTATAGACTGATCTATAGTCTTGACTATAGACTGATATATAGTCTTGACATAGACTGATCTATAGTCTTGACTATAGACTGATCTACAGTCTCGACTACAGACTATATTTAGGGCTATAGACTGATTAATAGCCTTGACTATATACAGATCTATAGTCTATGATCTTGACTATAGTCTGATCTGCAGTCTTGACTATATTCTGATCTATAATCTTGACTATAGTCTGATCTATATTCTCCACTATAGTCTGATCTGCAGTCTTAACTTTGGAAATTTTATTCAAACCGAATCATAAAAACTTTAGCGCATGAATTCCGAGATTTGAAAAATCAAAATTTAAATTTCAAAAAACATATATTTTTCCTTCAGTGTACTGCTTTATAATCAAAGCAATAACGATCATTGATTATGTACTTCCTTGACTATAAGAGCCGGTAAAACACACGATCAAATCACAGAGAGTGAGAGTACAAGTACAATACACGTAATACAGACAGGTTATAGAGGTTACAAAATTTCATTTAAGGGTGGAAAGTACCTGCTGTTGCCATCATCCACAATAATAACAACAACAACACACATGATCTGCACAACAAATCATGTGCAATGAAGACTGACTATACACCAGCAGTGATATAAATTTGTGAGTGAGTGATTTTTCTGCAACTTGCTGTACAAAAAGGATCGTTTAGCTTACGGGCAACATCATTTATAAACCAGCTACCGTACAGTAAACAAGTCAGCACCAAGCCAGCATTTATTAAATCTTGCTAAATTTGAAGACAAACTTATTAATAAATAACGAAATAAAAATGGCAGTTGATGGACAAAAATTCATGACAAAAACCCAACATTATCGCAAAGTTACGAAACCTTTGTTAGAACGAAAACGCAGAGCCCGCATGAATCTCTATTTGGAGGAACTTAAGGAATTAATAGTGGATACCATGGAGCAGCAGGGTGAACATGTTAATAAATTGGAAAAAGCTGATATACTCGAAATGACAGTTAGTTATTTGAGAAATCAAAAAGGAGTCGGAGCCAATGAAACTGCAAAAAATGACTTAACAAAACGTCCCTTAAATGTGGAAAAATTCCGTGAGGGCTATACCCAGGCAGCTTATGAGGTATCCAAAGTATTCTCTACAGTACCAGGATTAAATGTAGACTTTGGCACTAGACTCATGAAACATTTGGGTTATCAACTTAAGGATTTAAAACAACAATTGTTTGCAACTAACAATAACAAACAACAACAAGAACCCTTAATTATGAAAGATCAAGAAAATGATAATCATTTGGATATAAAAGGTGAAGATGTTTGGCGTCCTTGGTAAAAGGTCTTCTACTCAAAAACTTTACATGAGCTTTAATTCTTAAGACAGGAAGTTCAAGATACAAATTATTTTAATGATTTATCAAGCTTTATTAGTATTTAAGAATAACGCAACTTCCAGTTTCAAATATTGATGTACAATTTATTTTTAATTTTATTTTTATTTTATTTATCTGTATATAATTGTTTGTGATATTTTGTGATAGTTTTAAGTTATTACCGCCGGAGTTTTATCTTACAAGCTTTAAGGATCTCTTTAACATTTAAAAGTATTCCGTTTATAGTTTAAATTTGTATTTTAATAATTAAGTTTCACAATGATCTTCCACTTATATTTGATTTAATTAAATAAAAATGCATATCGATTAGAACAAATTAAATTAATTTTTTGTTGCTTATTAGAAAGTTTTGCAAAAACAAAATTGGAAAAGAAATTAATATATTCTTTTAGAAAAATAGATTCGGTATTCCCAAATTGTGTCGTTTTAAAAACGATCACAGAATCTTAAATTCTATGACAACGATTGCTTTAAATCTTAATGCTTGGAAATGTCTGATTTCATTGTTACAAGCGATGTTTCAAAATTCATGAGATTCGAAAAATTCCTTTTTCAGATGTGAGCAAAATGACAGTTTCATCGACTTATTTAACTCGAGATCACTCAGTGAAAGTAATCACACTAAAGTAGCATTCGTCTCATGTAGTTATGTATTTGCCTCAATAAATCCATTCCCAAGATCTCATAGGTCATCAACGTCCTATGCGATCTTTTGTATATAAGTATGTATGTGTAAGGAGTTTAGAGAGGTAGCAGTTAAACAAGAGGAGCAATAGGATTCTGTTTTGCTTTTATAATACCTCTTCTTTTTTGCTGTGTTGCGATGTGATGGTTAAATAAACGCAAACTATGTGACAGCTCTGATAATGCCAAAAAAATGAAGATCATGGACTTATGAGAGACAAAAGTGGTAGGTTTAAATTCTTTAAATACAAAGTTTCAATAGCGGGTCGTAATACATATAGAATACGAGTGAATTATAACAACCTCTGGGGCTCCTCTGTAGCAGATGCAATAGCACTGGGAAAGAAGAAAAAATCTTTCACATTCTCTGTGAATGCAGAAATAGATCCCATTTCAACTACATTTTGACTTACTGAGATATCGCACAGCCACAATCGATAAGTGGTATGGTTATGTCAAAACGACAAACAACCACGACAATTAACCAACCACCAGGCTTTAAATAGGAATCTAATAATTTAAGTTAGATTTTCATAGAATTGGGGGCCTGTCACTAAATATCAGATTTTTCAATTGATCGTGTAAAAGTGGCAGATCAATTTTATACTATTTTATAGAAGAGGATATTTCCTTACACCCGAAGAAACAGTTAGGAGATTTGTTCTCTTTCATCATCTATTTACAACATTCGCATAATACACACCCAATAAAAGGGAATAGATCAATGTACGATCACTATGCACGATCATTAAAAATATTACAACATTATTGTTAGATTGAAACAACTAAGTCGTTACAACATAACACGCTTTAATTTGCAATAAAATAACTTTAACGGCAATAGCTAATGTGCACGATCCAGTGGTATAATGTTCAATAATGTCTACATTCATGCTGACCTTGCAGAATGCTAATAGGTTCGGTAGATCAGTTAATGTTATACATCTCCGCTCATTACAAAGTAATGAATCTGTAGATCATAAATTGAACATTCAATTTTGCCATTTTGACATATTAAGTCCTTTTTTATATTACAAACTTTTATAAGTAATCTATTAACTTATCCATACAATAGTTAATAGACTGATACGAAGATTAGTTTATAGACAAGTCTATAGACTATTAATTAGATCATAAACTAGTTCATAAGACAGTCAGTCGACTAGTCCATCGACCAGTTCCTAAAGTAGTCAATCAATAGTGCAAAGATTCAGACCATACACTAACAAATAAAAAGTCCATTCGAATAAGTAGTTAATGGTCTAGTTTATAGTCTTGTTCATAGACTAGTCAATATAATAATCAATAGACTAGCCTATAAACTTGTTAACAAACTAGTCAATCTAATAGTCAATCATATTACTGGTCTATAGAATAGTTAATCGACTAGTCCTTAAACTAGTGCGAAGATTATTTCATAGATTAGTTGATAGACTAGTTCATAGAATAGTCAGTCGACTAGTAAATAACCTAGTCTTTAGATTTATTAACGGGGTGGTCAATAAGCAAACGTCAACCCATTAGAATGTTTAATCGGTTAGCCAATAGTCCATAAGATTCAATAGAATAGTTAATAGATTAGTATATAGACTAGTACATTAGAGTAGTCCTAGTATTGTCAATAGCCTAGTCCTAAAATAGTCCATTGCTTAGATTAGCCAATAGACTCTTTAACTCCATAGATTAGTCAGTCAAATAGTCAATAGATGAAAGATAAACAAACCTAATTTAAATGTAATGGAGACTCTTATAGACTCTTCTTTATCGAAAAAAGAGAGATTTCTCAGATATCTTCAAATTTATTAAAATGAAATCATTTTGAAGCTCTCCATAAGCTATAGATATACCGCAGGATAGTTTTTGTTTTTATAATGGTAAAAGGATGCTAATCGGTTAGAGGTTAATGATATATTTTGGTGGAAATAAGGAATAACCAAGAAACCAAAGTATATGCTCAGAGGATTCGCCTAAAAAGCACAGCCTCGTCACAATATTTCCATTAATACCATTACTATTCTAAGGTCGCAAAGTAAGTCCATTTTACACAGAAAAAAGCATTATTGTGGACACATAAAGATAGTGCACATATGAGATTTTATCTATTGATTTTCTAGAATTCTTAAGTTTCATCGAAATTGAATGTAATACAAAACTCTTGAAGCGATTTAGGAATAACTAATTAATGCAATTTTGTTTGCTTTAATAAAACTTAAACAACTTTTCTTTGTTAAAGTTGAATCAAAAGTTGTACTTAACATATTCTTAACTCTTTTTTAAAAAACAGTTAACGCAATATGATCGTCTTAATCCTACAAATGTTATATGACTTTTGCAAAAAACCAAAGAATGATGATGATCACCTTAAACAAGATCACACGCTTAAAGCACGATTAGTGCAACACGAGATGCTGTTAAAATGAATATTTTTAACACCAAAATTGAACTCATCCCAAAAAATTACGAAAGATTTAAAACACTTACACGCTTAAAGCACGAGTTGATCTTAAGCACCCAATGCGTGCGATCTTTTACAACAATGACCCACTGCAGTAAAATTGCATGGCATGGTTACAAAACTATACATATGAGGTACACACACAATAAAGAAAAACGCGTTGCTAAACCCACTTCTAGCCCAATATTGGGTAGACGTACGCAAAACACGAGTTTAAACACACTCCCGTTAAGTTATGAGAAAAAAAAACCAAAAATAAAGCCAACAGAGAAACAAGTGTTTAACAAGGACGTCCAAACAATAAGTTATAGAATCTTTTAACATGTAAATGACATTTACCCAGGCCAAAGGATCGAACACAAAACTGCCGTTGTAATTTAAAAAAAAAAGAACGGCAGGAAACAATTAGATTTCTATAAGAAGAAACGAGCAAAACGATACACAAATGTAAAAATATGAACAGCTGTGTCTTAAAACCGAGATTGTTGAAATTTTACTTCGAGCTGTGGGAAAATAAGTTCCCAAGGAAGAAAACAATAGTTGAGGAATAAAAGTAAACAGCCTCGTGGCCAGGTGAGCTGTGTGTGTGTACGATAGTCGCGTGAGAATCTACGAACGAAAGTGTTTCCCACGGTTGAAAACAGAATGTGCAGCCTTATATCAAAAAAGGTCCTTTTGCATGCCTTAGCATTAATTTACTTCCTTAAAGGTAAAAAAAGACAACAACAACACCAGGCTTAGTGTATACATAAGGGTGCAAACGAAGACGTTCGTTGTGCATGAGAATGTTTAAAATATTTCTTATTGTACTTTAGAGAAATAGGGGTTGGTTTTTAAAGGCATTTTCATGATAACACATTGAAACGACTGACAGACTGACGGTATGTGAAATTATAATTTTACTGAAAGAGAGAAGAGTGTAGAGGAATGAAAAAGAGCGCTGCAAACAATAACATACTACATTCCTTAACAAATATATGAGGGTTGTTGCATTATAGTAGAGAGTTTCTGTTTTGGAGAGCGAGGTTATTTTGGGTATAAAAGGCGGGGAGAGTAAGTGACTAAGTACATTACGTCTTACGCCTTTGAAGTGAACACATTAAAAAAAACACTTTTTTAAATTAAAAAAAATATATATCAAAACTTGTTGCATTTAAATAAAAAACAATTACAAAATGTCTGTACAAATGTCGGAAATGTCTAAAACCTATCAATACCGCAAAGTGATGAAACCCATGTTGGAGCGCAAACGTCGTGCTCGCATTAATAAATGCCTAGATGAATTGAAAGACTTAATGGTAGCCACTTTGGAATCGGAGGGAGAACATGTTACCCGCTTGGAAAAAGCCGATATCTTAGAGTTGACTGTTTCGCATTTGCAAAAAATGAAACAACAACGCAAATTAAGCAGTTCCAGCGGCAATACCACCATGAATCAGGCCGAAGGTTTTCGTTCCGGTTATATACATGCTGTTAATGAGGTCTCCAAATCCCTATCGGAACTACCAGGTGTTAATGTTAACTTGGGCACTCAACTAATGACACATTTGGGTCAGCGCCTCAATCAATTGCAGCCACCTGTTAAACCAGCTTTACCCATTACCAGCCCCTTGTCTGTGCAAATTGGTGCTCCCAATTTCAGAGGTCAATATTCAGTACCCATTTCACCGGTATCCAGTTATTCCACCAGCCCTAACTCCAGTATTGGCAGTGAAAAACAAGCTACTTCCCAACTCTTAACCACCTGTCCTTCTACTCCCATTGATGTCACCAGTATCGATGTGGAAATTGAAGATGAGGAAAATGTTTGGCGTCCTTGGTAATTCAAAGCGCAAACTCAGCTGTTAGTAAAGAGTCTCTGCACCCTTTAGTTCAAAATGTCTTCCAAAATCGGCTTTCATGCTAAGGCCTTAATTTATATATATATTTTTAATTATAATTATTATAAACAAAAAAAAGCTTTAACAAATTAATTTAAACATTAAGCTAATGTGATAGTCTAAGTAAACAAATTGTTAAATTATTTATAAGTAAACAACAACAATTAAACAAAATAATAATAATTTATGAAATTTTAAACAAAACTCTAAAGAAATCTTTTAATTTTTGAGCCTGAATATACTAACAGAAAGAAACTTCCTGTTCTTTATTAAAAACTAACATGACTGGTCATGATCTTTAATTATCATAAAAAATAAACCAATTTTCAGTTTAATTAATGAAAAACTGCCTCTGTTTTCTTTTTTCTCTCAAAAACGAAAAATCAAAATTTTCTAACCTTAAAAATAACCAAAAAAATATCCTCTATTTTTGAACACGTGTTCAGACAATGGTTTAAAAAAAATAATACATTTAAGGGATACCTACATTCTTTTATATAGTTTTCACAATGTCATTCTTTAATTACTGGCTGGGAACCAAATTTCTTACCTAAAAAGAAAAGAAACAACATAAGAATATTAAAAAACAATAACAAAACACAAACATTTTTGTAACATACAACAATTTTAAATACGAGCAATAGAAAACTAAACAATACAATTTAAACTCTAGAAAAAAACTAAAAAATAATTATAAAAAGTAAAAAAAAAGGAACAGTAAAAACCCATAAAATAATATATAAAAAGATAAGATCAGCCAGCAGCGTATCTAATCAAAAGTATTGTGGTGTTTATGTCCGTCTGTCTGTTAGGTCAGCCTTTTTTTTGGTCTTCAAATCCCACAAAACTCTCAGTATAAGTGTGTAAATTTAAAATAACCACCACCAATAACAACAACAAAATCTAAAACTAAATAAGACCCTTTTTTCTTATAGATATCTAAAGCATGTCTGTCTTGATTTTCTTTGTTTAACTACCCATCGATCGAGCGTTCGATCGTTTGCTTATGTATTCCTTTCGTGTTAAAAATTTCTTGAAATAAATTTTCAAGATTTGTTTTTAATTTTTTATGTTTGTCATTTCTAAAGGGATATTTAATATGTGTCTAAAACTTTTCATTTTCATTACTATTTCAAATTAAAATCCATAGCCAGTTTTATCTGGGGGAGATGGTGAGGAGTGATAAGATCACGATCGTGATGGCGCAAGCAGGGATATGTCAGTTTAAAGAGATTGTAGGAGACACTGATTAACATTAATAGAATGCAATGGGTAATCTTAAATTATATTAAAGTTACACTTGTTAAGAGGTAGAGGAGGAGATGGAAAACGTTTTTAGAATTTTGAAGTTGAGAAAAGATCACTCTGATCAACTATATTTTAAAGGACGCTGACTTTAAAATAAAAACGTTATAAAAAAGAGATTTTAACACTGGGAGAGAATATCCATGTACAATTTATATTGACTGAATATGTAAATACTGAACTAACAAAACGATCGCGATCGCACTAGTACCACGAATGATCGATCAGTACCACGAATGATCATGCTGCAAAATTGTTTATTTGTTTATAGAATTACTGAGAGTATTTTAACAACTTTGAATTGATTTCTGGATAGCGAATGAAGCTACTAAGTTTCAATGGTGCTTTATAATTTTGTACGAACAACCAACCCACACATTTGAATCTATAAAGAAACTACTTTTGATCAGCTACTACACATTACCAATATTGCTTAGATTTTTGCTTCCTATTCCAGAATGCAGCATTATAGTCCCTGCACAATATACAAAACAGAAGCCGATCGTATATAAATAAATAGATATAATATAATACCAATGTGCCCCAACAAAACATCAGATTTTCAGTCTCAGATAATATACTAAATTCTATTATGGTCGCTCTTTCATGAGTATCAAAGCCCCTGCGCAATATAGGTACCAACCAGTAGCTGATCGTATGTAGATACCAATACGTCCCAAGAAATCATCGCGTGAGTGTTCAGGTCATTTAAAAGAGATCTTCAGTCCAGTAAATTATATTGGACGCTATGAGATTGAAAGATCGTGAATTGGAGAGGATGTAGGAATACAAATTAAGAAATGAAAGAACTGTTTGATGGCGCAATCGCGAGATAGCCTTAAGCCCCCTATGGAGGATACCTAAGAGTAATGTGATGGAGCTTTAACGCCGTCATATAAAATTAGACTGTAGGAAGATCTTTTTCAAATATCAGATATAAAAAATCAAAGCATTTCAGATCGAAAGAGTTCCAAAGTTATCAAGATTTTGAGGACCTGCAAATAACCTTTTATATGGAAGGAATCAAAAACTGTAAAAACGACAAACCAACTAGACCAGTGGTTTCCAAATGTTGAACTTTTTAGGTCCTATAAGACCATATTGATCACGAATGATCGTTATCTAAGTGCTGGTAGGGTAAAGAAACAAATGCGGGAATTTCGTTGAAAAAACAAAATTCTTTAAAGATCGGAGTTTATTTAGCTCGCAAAATACTTGTACAGGGTCCATTCCTTAGGATCGTAAGTCGTATGGAGAACTTTAAATAATATTTATAGAGAATTCTACGATCGCAAATTATTACATTAATCTCGTACTTGGTGGTCATTATACTGCCGAGAAATTCTGAGGTTTAATGACTCCTGATCAGATTCTTAATTGTGGTTAGGCTCAACAGCCTTAAAAAGTCTTAGAGATATAAGTCCTTTACAAGGCAAGATAATACGTAGTTCGAATGGCACCATAACCAAATCATAATCTAACCATATGTGCAGAAATCCAAATTCCAATGATTTACTAAAACATAACCGCACATTTTAACAAATCTATAAATAACTCCTACTTTACTAAAAACTATGCTTGTGACTAAAATAATATACACAGAGAAAACAGATTCGTTGTGATAACCGAACTTGTTTCCAATCGAATTCAGTAGGTTCTAGCAACTATACTAAAATTCGATTGTAATTATTGAAAAATTCGGTTACTATTACTGTATATATGGTGTACACAACTATTTTTGTTTATTATTCGGAAATACGGATTGAAATTATTGGTATTTGCAACTGAATAATTTCTTATTGAAAACCAATTTGTGGACTTTGTGTATTTTAAAATACATTTCATTTTATTTACAATATTTACAAAAAATATGAATCTGTATAAACTTACAAAACTTATTTATATACATATATAAAAATACAGCTTTCCCCTTTAGTTTTGATAATTTGATGATAAACGCTATGTTTATGTGCCAAGGATTTTGCTTTCATCTTTTCTTTGCCTGTCTAACATGTCCAAAGAAGTATTACCTTTCCACGCCTTTCCGCAGCTGTAAAATTATTAAAACTTATAAGAAAATATCACAAAATAAATTATAAGACATAACATATATTAAACATTACCTTTTTTGTCTGATTTTTCCGCATTAATGAATCCTTAAATGTAATTCGTTTTTTTAATATAAATTCTTTGTATTTTATTTATTTTTATATACAGTGGCGTGCAGAAATGAGTGCATGTTCACGACACTGACTTTCGTCATCCACAAAAACAAAACCATACAAGCAAATCAAAAAAATTTTTTTTTTATTATTTTTATTATTTTATTAGTAACAAATAGGAGTAAAGAAACAATAATAAATGAAATTAATTCAAAGAGTTTGAAAGAAAAAACGAAAATAACCCACATAAACTCAATTTTGCACGTTTTATGAATTGCACCTATTTTCGCTCTCCCACTCTCTTTCTTATCAGCAGAAATCTTGCAATTTACCGTTATGTTTGTTCTTATCTATTCTTCTTGTTCATAAATCAGTTTAAAACGTGTTTCTTGAGAATTAATGCAGATTTTGTGAATTACTTTCATATTTAAAATAAATTGTTGATTTTTTGCATAAAAATGAGAAAAATATCTGAAGAAATTGAAAATAGTGTTGTGTGCCTGACGGAGAAGGGCTGTTCTTCACGTACCATTTCCAAGAGGCTTGGTATTAGTCAATCGGCGGTGATCGCAGCTCAAAAGAGACGAAATGTGACTCCCAAATCGCAAGCCAAAGGTCGCAAAAAATTATTAACGGACTCAGATGCTCGACTAATGCTGTCCGAAATGAGAAAGAACAAGCTGCTAACCACTGAACACTAAGAAGTGAAACGCTGTCAAAAAGTACCTAAGTCTACTGTCAGTCGGTACCTAACTCTAAGAATGTATTAGTAGAATTCTCAAGCCAACATAGTTGCAAAAAATCGGATTTAAAAATATTGAAAAAAATTTTAAATTTAAATCTATATTTTACAAGATTTCTTTAAATATTTTGCAACATAATTTATCTATAAACATTATATATTAATGTATCTTTGCTTTTTAATCTGCAATATTGAAATAATAAATAGTTTAGTTGAAATATATTTTTCTTGTACCATACGAAAATTTACAACATTGTTTTTTTTTTTCAGTTTTAATTTCAACAACAAAAATTGAATGTCAAAAAATAAAAAAATATTTTTTTCGTTTGTAAAAAATTAAATCTTTTCGGGCTGTTAAATATACTTAAAGTGTGCAAAAAAATAATAAAATATAACGTTAAGTGATAAAAAATATTTTCAAGTGCTATAAGCCACGAATTTTCGCGACAAAGTTTTGAAGTTTGGAGAGAGAGTAAGATTCTTGCATATGTGTTGGAGTTACACAGAACTCGTCTGTGAGAAGAGCGTAACGTTATTGTTGTAAAAAAATGACAGCGTTTCACTTCTTAGTGTTCAGTGCTGCTAACACCAAAGGGTGCTTCTCTGGCAATTAACAAAAATGTAAGCGAATGGACTGCCAGAAGAGCGCTCCATAACATCGGATATGCTTCATTTGTTAAAAAACACAAACCTGCATTGTCCGATAAAATTGTTAAAGCGCGCTTGAAATTTGCAAGGGAGCACAGAAATTGGACCATTGATGATTGGAAACGTGTTATCTGGTCTGATGAGTCCAAATTTAATCGTTTTCAGTC